AGAAAGTAATCCACAATATCCATCCATATGTATCCAAATTCCACAGATTTAGTCGTTCCATAATCCATACATTGAACAATAGCCCGCATCCAATGAGCTTCGTTTACAGTATTTAACCAGCGATTTATCATATCCATACATCTGTAAATGAGAAAAGCAACATGTATAATGTAAAAAGTCAGACATGCAGTCTTTAAACATGTTTAGACATGTTTTAAAAATTTAAGAAAGGATGTTATGAATAAGGGATTATTGCAATAAAGAAAGTTAATCCACCAAAAAATTTCAGCCTTTTAAAAAGTATTTCACCTTTTGTGAAGTGCTTGGTTTTTTGATCTCATCTTGTATGTGCTACAATCGTTGATGCATTGCTAAAGAAATGGTGAAATTTCAAAGTTTAAGGAGTACGGTAGTTGAAGATATATTCGAAAGACCAACTGACTGAAAAATACGCATTCCAAAAAATTGTTAAATTTGTTTTATAAAAAATATTTTACCTATCAAATACTGTTAATCAACCAACAAAAAATTTTTCGTTGTAGTTTTGTCTCTGAAACTTCGTCCAAGTGGGCCACATTTATCTAAAGAAAAATTCTGAGAACATTTAGTTAACGAATTATTTTGGGGGAGGGGAGGGGGAGGGATGTCCTAATGACAGAATAATACACGTACAACAAAGATTTTAGAATTTTATTGAGTTCAAAGTTTAGCTATTACATTTTGAAAATATCATCAATAAATAAATTTATTGTAGCAGTTTATCCTCTGAAACTTCGTCCAAGTGGTCCATAGTTATCTAAAGATAAATTCTAAGAACATTTAGTTTACGAATTTATTGGGGGGAGGGAAGGGGAGGGATGTCCTAATGACAGAAAAATACACGTACAACAAAGATTTCAAGAATTTTATTCAATTCAAATTTTAGCTATAACATTTTTTTGAAATTCCTCATTTTTCGACAATGTCACTATGTAAATGTATGATCGAACTACCTTTACTTTAAAAATTATCAAAGTTGAAATAAAACTTTCACGAATCAATACTTATTTAAAACTTTATTTCTATAACAAATCGCTAGCTATTTACATTCAATATTGCATTTAATGATAATGTTGTAAAATTAAACTAAAATTTGTAATAGTTTTTTATGTTACAAGATCGTCTTTTTATGTTTTTGTTAATACATAAAATTTCTACGATAAAGAACTTTTATATTTTAATAATTGAACCACTGATCAGCTTTTATAATTAATTTATACAGTAAGCATGTACTTTTTTATGAAATTTCTGTCTTTGAAGGTTTCTGGAACAACTATTTCATCTTCTTTGAAAATCTTCAGTAATATTTGTACATAATTGCCATTTTTTGCTTTTTACCGGATAATTAAGCTCAGTTGCTCGTTTTAATTTTTTTTCTGGTTGGTAGACTGCATATTTATGCATTGCAGGCTTTTCCGCTACGTGTATTTGCGTTTATTATGCGCTTTAGGTTTCGTTGAGTTTTAAAGAAACACCGCAGTTTTTCGATTTTTTTACCGAAAATTCCGCAACATATATAGTCATAGATCAAACCTTTACACCGTCTTCTGTGGCTCCATCATTGTAATACCACAACCAGTAAGAAAGTAATCCACAATATCCATCCAGATGTATCCAAATTCCACAGATTTAGTCGTTCCATAATCCATACATTGAACAATAGCCCGCATCCAATGAGTTTCGTTTACAGTATTTAACCAGCGATTTATCATATCCATACATCTGTAAATGACAAAAGAACATTTATAATGTAAAAAGTCAGACATGCAGTCTTTTGAAAATGTTTAGGCATGTTTTAAAAATTTAAAAACATATGTTATGAATAAGCGATTATTGCAATAAAGAAAGTTAATCCACCAAAAAATTTCAGCCCTTTAAAAAGTTGTTCACCTTTTGTGAAGTGTTTGGTTTTTGATCTCATCTTGTATGTGCTACAATCGTTGATGCATTGCTAAAGAAATGGTGAAGTTTCAAAGTTTAAGGAGTACGGTAGTTGAAGGTATATTCGAAAGACCAACTGACTGAAAAATACGCATTCCAAAAAAGTGTTAAATTTGTTTTATAAAAAATATTTTACCTATCAAATACTGTTAAACAACAACAAAAAATTTTTCGTTGTAGTTTTGTCTCTGAAACTTCGTCCAAGTGGGCCACATTTATCTAAAGATAAATTCTAAGAACATTTAGTTTACGAATTTATTGGGGGGAGGAGAAGGGGAGGGATGTCCTAATGACAGAAAAATACACGTACAACAAAGATTTCAAGAATTTTATTCAATTCAAATTTTAGCTATTACATTTTTTTGAAATTCATCATTTTTTGACAATGTCACCATGTAAATGTATGATCGAACTACCTTTACTTTAAAAATTATCAAAGTTGAAATAAAACTTTCACGAATCAATATTTATTTAAAACTTTATTTCTATAACAAATCGCTAGCTATTTACATTCAATATTGCATTTAATGATAATGTTGTAAAATTAAACTAAAATTTGTAATAGTTTTCTATGTTACAAGATCGTCTTTTTATGTTTTTGTTAATACATAAAATTTCTACGATAAAGAACTTTTATGTTTTAATAATTGAACCACTGATCAGCTTTTATAAATAATTTATACAGTAAGCATGTACTTTTTTATGAAATTTCTGTCTTTGAAGGTTTCTGGAACATTTATTTCATCTTCTTTGAAAATCTTCAGTAATATTTGTAAATAATTGCCATTTTTTGCTTTTGACCGGATAATTAAGCTCAGTTGCTCGTTTTACTTTTTTTTCTGCTAGGTAGACTGCATATTTATGTATTGCAGGCTTTTCCGCTGCGTGTATTTGCGTTTATTATGCGCTTTAGGTTTTGTTTAGTTTTAAAGAAACACCGCAGTTTTTCAATTTTTTTACCGAAAATTCCGCAACATAAATAGTCATAGATCAAACCTTTACACCGTCTTCTGTGGCTCCATCATTGTAATACCACAACCAGTAAGAAAGTAATCCACAATATCCATCCAGATGTATCCAAATTCCACAGATTTAGTCGTTCCATAATCCATACATTGAACAATAGCCCGCATCCAATGAGCTTCGTTTACAGTATTTAACCAGCGATTTATCATATCCATACATCTGTAAATGACAAAGGCAAAATAAATGGTTTATTATAAATGAACTCGATCATCTGAAATTCCTGGATTTCATTACGATTAAAATCTAGCTTAAATCTGCAATTATTTTGTCATTTTTCGTGAAAGGAAAGTAAAGTAAACAACAAAATCGTAACATACAGGACGTCTTGAGATTACAAAATATAAATCAATATAAAACCCAAATGTTGGAACTGGTTTTTTGGGCAAGTTAATGAATTTTACGTTTCATCTTTGTTTTCTTGTCCCCTTAAGAATCACAGTTAATCGAAGGTTCAATACCAAAAATGGCGAGCTAATAATTCTTGTCCTGTTCACTGTAGAACCCGCACACGAGACACTTACACGTGCTAGAAGTGTGGTTAGTTTTGAAGATTAAAGGCTAGCAAAGTTGAGTATAGACAGAATTTTTAACCAAAAAGACATTCATCGCAACAACTAATAGTTGAAGATTTAACACAAACATATATGTCACCTTATAAGAAAGTTTTCACGGCTGATATTTCACACTTACCTTACATAACAAGAAACTTCAAGGGCTTAAGAGAGATGTGTCTTGTGTTTCTCAACATATGTTTCACTTTAGTCGTGAAAGCTTTAACGTCTTACTCAGTAATTTCAAGGTCGCTCTTTGAATTGTAAGCTTGCGAGTAGCGAAGAACTTCTAGATTACCGCATGCTAAGGTGGTGTCTTTAAGGTGGGTGTGTACTTTGAGAGGATTGGCTGTATGATGAGCCAATTTCAAATCCCCCGAGGGATTTCATAGCAACGTTGAACAATTTCTAAACACAGCACAGAATATAAAAACCTTGTAACTTATAATTTGCTTAGAAGTATTCTGCATACTATTGCCTGTGCAAATTTTTCTAGTGCTGGGATTTTAAAATACTTTCTAATTTAATGCGTTAATTAAGTAAGTTAAATAACGAGATGTACATTCCATTACTTTGTACTAACAATTACTTTGATTACGAACGCAAATAAACTTAGCACATCTAGTATTTAATCTTGATTTGCAATTCAGCCATGTTTGTGGTATGATACAAAAGAATATTTTATCATTGTTCTTGTTGGCACCAGCCGACGTGGGCGGGTAACATTGTTTGGTAAATCTCAAGAGAATGGTTACAAGACAAGAATTGTACTTAATTATCTTAGTCTAACTCACATTGTTTACACGTGCACTGGATAAAAAAATAACATACAAACTGCGGGCTCTGCATACTGCAAAAGTTCAAAGTTTGAAGCAAAATGCTTTTCAATTGCTTATGGCCCTATACTTAAATAAATTACTGCTAAATCATGAAATTCTAAAGGTCGGGTGATTTCAGTGGGTAACAGTTACATTGGTTCAGAATATTCTACACTGTAAACTTTAATTTCAAGTCGGCTCTTTTTTAATAAATACATTAGAAATGGTGTAGAGTTGGATTGGGTTGAAAACATAAAGCTTTCTCCATTCAGGAAGTTTGGGCAACAAATCTCATCATACATTGCATCTCCCTAATTTTCCAGGTAAACAATGGAAATTGACAAAAAAGAGCATTTCAAAAGAGCATTTCATACACAGCTAAAATCTTGTCGCGTGTTGTGGAATGTCAACTTGTTTAAACAAGTCAATGGAAGAGCATTGCAACAAGCATACAATTCTTGAAACCTCAAAAGGAAAACTACATAGTTTGTTATGATTCAAGAAAAAGAATAACGCAAGTAATGGAATTACTTTATATTTTTTTATATTATAGTTAAGATTCAACAGTTTTATGACCTTGAAAGCGTAAGTTTAGGGCGAATTTTTTTCAAATTTTTTTCAGCACTGAAAGTTCAAGAAAATTTTATTTTTTCATTATGTTTCAATAAGCCGTAAAGTTTAGAGATCTTACAACATACACAAAATTGACAAGTTACTTAAAATTTTCATACTTGCATTTACTGGGCAGAATGATTAAATTTAGTTGCTCCACTAGAAGAACAATATAAATCTCCAGTCTTAAACCAAAGTCATGTTTACCAGTGGTCAAGTATATTAGTTATAAAATAGCATTTATTAAACTTGCTATTGTCCCAGTCATCAACAGCTCATATAAAGATCGTTTTCTTGAGAAAATAAATGTTTAAGTAAATCAGATGAAGTCAACATTTTGGTACTGCCAACAATTACCTAGAGACAAAAATAAATCATAATAAATAAATAAATATAATTTCTTGAACCTAGAACCTAAAAATCAATATTTTCTTATGACATGGTTGTTACAAAATTGAACTATGCCTTGCCTGAATGAGATGCAAAAAGATTGTTCAATCCAGTTTTACTGTAGGTACAGAGTTTTTAACCATGTGATGTAGAACATAAAATAGTATTGTGAGTGATGTATAATCCATTCTCAGTTATTTATCGAATAATCTTGTGGCGATTTCCTGTTGGGATTGGGCGTTTTAACCACTAGTAGCTATGTGGGCAGAATAAATCAAAAAGATTTAATCTTTCTAATTTTCCTTGATGATTTACAATGTTTATTTAAAGATTAAGTGGTTGTATACAAACCTGAGTTTTTACATCGTGAGTAGACAAAAACTCCTGAATTTGTTGAACTTCAGAACACGTTAATCCCCCGACGACAAAAATGATAAGAATGGGATGATCACAAGGATGAGGCTTTGAGACGTTCAAGAACAAGCTAAGAAAACAAAATATGAAAATTACGTTATACAATATACAACGTAAGAAACTAAGGCATCAGACATATAAGCGTTGGCAAAGTATTCTGATGAGACAGATTATTAATTGAGAATAGTAAATTTTACGGTTCATTTTTAAGGCTCATATCGTTGGGAAACAAGACATGTCAACCAAAGACAACAAAACTTAAGTAATGCAAACAAGGGAATAACATATGGGAAAGCAAAGAGCATCAAACGAAATAGCATTAAAGAAACAGCAAGGTATGACAAAAAGCTAACTTGGTGTTACAATAAGAGCTTAGTATGAATTTAGTCTAAAATGTTTACATTCGCAGATATGAACTCCATCATTGATATTGGAAAGGTAGAGAAGACGATTTGTGCAAAATCACATCATCTATATTGATGAGCAGATGATAAGAGATGGTGTTTCCCAAGAGATTCCATCATCTATATTTACGAGCAGATGACGAGAGAAAGTGTTGGTACGATATCAATAGATTAAAGGTGAGGAATCGTTGGTAAGCTATGGAATGTAAGATATAAAAATCATTGATAACAATGAGCTAATGGCGAGGGATGTTGTTTGTTTGTAAAATGAATGAATAAAATAATAGAGTTAGCCTCAACATGTTTCTTATCCATCATAAACAGCTGCTATCTTCAATTCACCTGAATCCACTCTTGATGAAATCTTTGAGACGAACTGACTTGAACTCAATATCATTTATTTCTGTTTTTCTTGGATCAAAAATCTTTTGTAAGACCTGAAAGAAAGTCGCATCAAAAGACACTGGATAAAACAATGAATTGTGACGACATAATGAGTGAGAGTAAATGTTATGTTGTTCCAGTCTGCTTACTGTTTGTTGGCATGACCAAACTCAAGACGTAACTATGGAAATCTAAACCAAACTATAACTCCCCATAAAATCATCCTGGGTCCATTCAAGTATTCTCTTAAGAATGCCTAAATATTTTTAAAATTCAACATCACCTGCTTAATCAAAGATTCATAGGACAGCAAATCATGCTTAGATGACGTATTCGTAAACAAATCCCTACAAAATAAATTCCTTAAATAATGTAAGGTCATTTAACAGACATTTAATTACACATTAAATACCTGAAGGATGATAAATCCGTTCGTAATTTTTTCAAAAGAAAAATTCTCTGTAGACATCCAATAATTTTATTTCGTTTTACATTTTTACTGTCTTTTTCGTCGTCTAAATTTAAATTAAACCAAATTATTTCTGTCAAATCTCTTCGTAATTTGTGTGCCAATATTAACGTTTATACAATGCTAACCAATGATAAATTTTGTCTTGACTTTCAACTTGCCAGCCAAAACGTCATTCATGATTTCATTCTACATTAGATAAGAAACAAAAAGCTATTGTTATTTGACGTTAGAAAGCGTAATTGAAATAAATCTGACTCTTAAAACAAAGCGAATTGCTACCAAAATGATGCAAAGTCATTGAAGTTGAAACGATAAAAAATTATTCTAAAGTAGATTTTATCTTGTGACTTCTTCACAATTTTTGTCATACAATGCTTCTAAGAGGAAGCAAACTATAAATAGAATAAACTAAATAATATTTTCACTTTCCTACTTTTAACTTCAATTCTTCTTCTTCAGAATGTGATACGTCATAACTATTATCTCCAACCAAAGAATGAGTGTAAACCAAAAACAACAAAATATCTTCAAGACAAAAAGACCTACGACAAACATTGAAGTCACCATAATTTTGCAAAATAAATACAATATTTAACTTTTATTACCTTATACCTTCTCTAACGTTCTTTAAAAGTAAGAGAATGTGCGAATAACAGCTGGGAGAATCTTCTTCATTCAAACTTAATTGAAGTACCTATCCAAAAATTTAGATCATATTGGGTGACATATGTATTAATAAAATAATATTAATGAAACGCATGCGCCGATAGGTATATAACTTAATTTGCATTAGACTGTGCAAACCAATCTGAGCTCAATCAACGAACAAACGTACCAACGAACGACCGAATCAATCAATCAATCAATCAATCAATCAATCAATCAATCAATCAATCAATCAATCAATCAATCAATCAATCTATCAATCAATCAATGAATCCATCAATGAATGAATGAATCAATCAATAAAATTTGCTAATTAATCATGAAGACGTGTTAGAGAACAAATTAAAACATATTTCTTTTAATTTTGTCTGTTTGGCATTATTGTTACTTCATAAAAGAAATAAAAGATGTTTTTCGTGTTTAGATTGCCTTATGCAAACCTCGAAGACGATCGACCTTCTGTCACGGGCTTGCACTGATCTGCTCTCGAGTTTTCCAAAGGTCTCACAAGCCTGTGCAAACACAAGCCTGCGCAAACACAGTAAACATCTTTCATTTCTAAATTATAAATCTATATGCAAAACTTTGGGACAAAAACAAACCACAATTTACAAACTTGCTTTTAACATAACAACGCGTCACCTTCTCTGCACTTTGAATCTCCTCAATATTTGAATTTTCCTCTACTTTTGAACTATTGATGACTGCCATTGCAAGTTGAAGGACAACAGAATGCTTTATGAACAGTTTTATGTTATCCCTGTTAAAAAATTGAAACTCAAGATCATTGAAAGTTGAAAGAACCTCAAATTTCATTCAAAAAATCAATTCCTAGTATAATAACGTTGAAATTGACGACATAGTTTTTTTTGTTTTTTTTTTGTAACGACAAACTGTTATGGAGCATGAAGAAAACCGACATTTTGAATTTTACACATACACACACCATGTACCATATATGGTATGAGAGATGAATGCACGCCGGTCGTAAAGAATTTCCAAAGTTGATCGTATAAAAAAACGTAAAAACATTCGTAATTCGTAAAAAAATCATTACCTAAAATAATTCATTAAAGACAAAAGTTTCTTTGGCGTCACTTTTCCAAAATCTTCATCCACAAAGGAAATAGATTCCTCTTTCAAGATCTCCGTTAATTTTTTGTATAGTTTGGTTATGCTGTTCTAAATAAATGAAACAACAAGCTATGTTGATTATCAAGAATATTTATAAAAGAACACGATAATGAAAAAGTCATATTTGTAAGTAAGTTAGACAAATACTTTTAATTTCAAGAGGGAAGAGAGTGATATTTGCTTTCAAACATGCTGTTATCAACAAAAAGAAAACGTTGTTTAATGTTAAACAATGAACAACATAAGACTGGACCTTTTTGCTGATGAACTTTATCTATATAGTACTCTAGTACCTATATCAGGATCAGAGAAATAGTTTCTTTAAATAGTTATAAAAATATTTCCAATATATCTGATAGATGGAAAATTCATTGTCTTTTTGGACAGAAACCATGTCCAGCCGACAATTTAAAAAAATATCGTAAAAAACAAGACATCTTGAGATTACAAAATATGAATCAGAGCAAGACGAGAAATAAACTGTGAATTTTCTACTTTATTTCAAAGTCCTCCTCAGGATTACAGTTTACTTCTCGTGTTGTTCTGATTCATATTCTGCAATTTCAAGATGTCTTGTTCCTTCGGAATTTGTTTTTTACAATATTTTGGACAGAAGTTACGTAAAAAGAAGAAAACGCAGTTTTAGATTTTAAACGTTTTCTTTAATTATTCGCTCAAACAATGTCGTCAAACTAAACACCAATGCAGCATCTTAAATGTGTAACAGCTATCATCTATAACACCTATCTTAATTATAATGCAAGCTATATCTTCAACGTATGCGATCTACTTTTTACGTCACATCCGGTGCAAAATCCTTTGGCCACTAAAGCCCGTAAAGATAAAATTTTCGTCGTATCAAATATATTACAAATGTTCTTGAAATCAATTTAATTATTTAAAGATTTTTCTCTCACCCTGATATAAGCACTTTAAACTACATGCTTACTGTCTGTAACAAGTGATGACTAACATTAAAGTACCTGCTTACTGTCTGTAACAAGTGACGACAAACATTAAAGTACCTGCTTACTGTCTGTAACAAGTAATTACTAACATTAAAGTACCTGCTTACTGTCTGTAACAAGTGATGACTAACATTAAACTACATGCTTACTGTCTGTAACAAGTAATGACAAACATTAAAGTACCTGCTTACTGTCTGTAACAAGTGATGACTAACATTAAACTACATGCTTACTGTCTGTAACAAGTAATGACTAACATTAAAGTACCTGCTTACTGTCTGTAACAAGTAACGACTAACATTAAACTACATGCTTACTGTCTGTAACAAGTGATGACTAACTTTAAACTACATGCTTACTGTCTGTAACAAGTAATGACTAACATTAAAATACCTGCTTACTGTCTGTAACAAGTAATGACAAACATTAAAGTACCTGCTTACTGTCTGTAACAAGTAATGACAAACATTAAAGTACCTGCTTACTGTCTGTAACAAGTGACGACTAACATTAAAGTACCTGCTTACTGTCTGTAACAAGTAATGACAAACATTAAAGTACCTGCTTACTGTCTGTAACAAGTAATGACTAACATTAAAGTACCTGCTTACAGTCTGTAACAAGTAATGACTAACATTAAAGTACCTGCTTACTGTCTGTAACAAGTAATGACTAACATTAAAGTACCTGCTTACTGTCTGTAACAAGTAACGACTAACATTAAACTACATGCTTACTGTCTGTAACAAGTAATGACTAACTTTAAACTACATGCTTACTGTCTGTAACAAGTAATGACTAACATTAAAGTACCTGCTTACTGTCTGTAACAAGTAATGACAAACATTAAAGTACCTGCTTACTGTCTGTAACAAGTAATGACTAACATTAAAGTACCTGCTTACTGTCTGTAACAAGTGACGACTAACATTAAAGTACCTGCTTACTGTCTGTAACAAGTGATGACTAACATTAAAGTACCTGCTTACTGTCTGTAACAAGTGATGACTAACTTTAAAGTACCTGCTTACTGTCTGTAACAAGTGATGACTAACATTAAAGTACCTGCTTACTGTCTGTAACAAGTAATGAATAACTTTAAACTACATGCTTACTGTCTGTAACAAGTAATGACTAACATTAAAGTACCTGCTTACTGTCTGTAACAAGTGGCGACAAACATTAAAGTACCTGCTTACTGTCTGTAATTAGTGATGACAATAAAAAATGTGCTTCTTTTTCTTGATATTTATGGCACAATGATCCGGGCGGAAGAATGTTTTTACTGAAACATACAAGTCATAAAACATAATGAAAAGAAAATTTTTCAATTATTTAAAACAAACGTTAAATGCAAAACAGGTGGAGTTAAATGCAAATACACTGGAGTATAAACGTATCTGCAACAAAAACTAAAAAATTAAAATGTCAAGAAAAGCCTAACAACTTGCAAAGGCTAACAAAGTGAATCAATTAAATGGTAGGTCAAGTAATAATTTGGCTACCTTACAGATGTAAAAAGACTGGATAAATCAATAGCAACGTCAATATTGTGGCCAGGAAGCTTTGGAAGACAATCAAATATTTTATCACCAAGATTGTCTTTGCATTTTGACGATATTTGAACTAAGTCTAATGTACGATCTATGAATAAGACGGAACAGCGACCTTTGATATTCTAGATAAAAGTAAGTTATAATCAAATGGTGGCGCCCACAGAGAAATAATTAATAAAATCAAAAGTAAAAAAATTCTTTGGTTTTTACTTGAAGCTTTAGTGTTTTATCTCATATTTTGAGATACATGCGTGGAAACTTTCTACAAGAGTTGAAGCTTTTTTTTTATATACAGCCAGAGTTTTTTTTTCGGAAGCAGGCGCTAAAACAACCGGAGTTTGCAAAACACTACATCTTATCACAGGACTAAAGTCGAAAAAGCGGTAAGCATGCATGTTTAAATGTGCACAAACTATGAATGTACCTTTTTCATTTTTGCAGATGATAGACTAGCAAGTTCACTAGCTAGTAATTTGGAAGTATGACCAATTGCATAACAATCTTCGTGTAACTCCGATTCATTTAAAAGCTCACTGAACGCTAACGCCAGAAGCTAAAAAGACATTGTTTTATTATAAACAGCTATGCAAAGAAACAACACAGCAATTATACAGCATTCTTCTTTAACTTTGACCAATTAACATGAATTAGCAAATAGTTATACGTAAAAGCTTCATATATTATAAATATGACTGATAAGAAAAGGTACGATTATAATTTAATACATAAACTATAGATGTTCTTTTTTGTGAAAACCTCAAACGACAAATTAATTAACACATATTTGTCTGTTCCCAATTGATGTACTTACATTATTCTTTTGTCTTAGCACATCTAGTTTTTGTCATAGATTACATTATCATGTGATCTATGAAAATCTAACATTAATATCTGGCTAACAAACCAGCCAACCAACTTTCAACAAGTATCAGTTGTCATTTGACATGAGGGGTGCAGATTTTCCAAGAGGGGTGCATCGTTGTCCTAGCTAAAGTTATCTGGGCCTGGTGCTATTGTAGATTTTTAGGCTTACAGATGAGTAAACTTTGCATAATAAATATGTATCCAATATTGCCAAAGACAATTTAAACATGAATGCAACAGTTGATTTCAAACATGACAATCAAGAGACAAAAAAATCAAGAAAAAAAGGAAGTTCACACGACTAAGTAACAAGTTACTTTGCGTTTATTACTTTTTTTCAATTTTAATGTTTCAATGAAAACATGAACGGTAGTAACTCAATTGCAAATGGTGGTATTGAAATGATAAGTTCCCCTCTTGCACTCAGATGTTCCCCTCTTGCACTCAGATGTTCCCTCTTGCACTCAGATGTTCCCTCTTGCACTCAGATGTTCCCCTCTTGCACTCAGATGTTCCCCTCTTGCACTCAGATGTACATAAAACAATTTCATTTCCACAATAAACACTGACCTTTAATTTCATTTGAAATGATTTTGGAGTGTGATGTATTTCAACTTCCGATAAAGATGTTAATTTTTTTTGGTCACCCTGATAAAACACAATAAACCAAACAAAAAACTTATTAAACAGAATAAAATCCATTTCATTTTACATATTTAATGGAATTTCACCTTGGTTTTCATCAACTCTGTCATGGTTGGTACATCAGATGGCAAGATGGGAAAAAACTTTGTAAATTGTGGAATAAGGAATACACCAGGAACAATGTTGGCCCAAAAGCATGGTATATATTGAATATCAACTGTTGAAAACTAAAATTATTCATCAATAAAGATTGAGTACAAAAATATCAACTTAATTTGACCACAATAAGAGATGCACAAGGATTCAACTTTAATCTGAAAACCACACAAACCTTGTGATCCATCCATTCAGAAACTTTTTCTTCCAGTTTTGCATAAAATGACTCATTTTCTCCTTGCTTAATCAGAACAGACACATTTTCATCGGCTACAGTACAAAATATTGAACAGGACTGGAAATAGCTTGATTCAACGAGTTTTTGAAGTTTTTCAAATTTTTTTCCAGGCAATAAGGAGCTTGTTATAAACACAACTTTTTGTTCATCTTCAAATCCACTCTAAAAAAATTCAAAAAATTGAAAATGATGAAAACATCTTAACCAAATAAGTTTAACAAAGTGATTTTTTCTCTAAATTAAAATAATGGAAGTGACTCTATGTCTGGTAGTTTTGAAAAACAAAATGTGAGGCAGTTTTTTAACATAAAAATTATGATATGTGGTGATGTTTGAGCTGGAGGTTTGAATAGCTAAGTGGTTAGTGTGAAAATTCAATCAATATACAGTCAAAAGCCAATTGTAAACTTGGCTGTGGAGAGAGATTTCTTTTATAAGTTCTTTTTCTACAATTTTCATCAAAGAGAGCAACAATAACAATTTCTGGTTAAGGTTAGTCTGGTTAGGGAAAAGTTTATTAAACTTTTAAAGCATTAAATAGTGATCTTAAAAACTTCCTTAGTTTTATCAAAACATTGTCTGGCTACCAGACATCGTTATTACCAGGGGCCGACTGCATAAAGCCTGGATGGTAAATGTTTAAAAATCTTACAAAAGAATGAATATAAGATTTAAGCTGAGCAATCACTGAAATAAAATATTGCTTCTATGACTACATTACTTTTTTGCAAGTTTGAAAATTTTACCATCCATACTTTGTGCAACGAGTCCCTGAAGTGAATAAATTATTAAGTGAGGTGGCAATTTGGCAAAGGGCAATGGTACACATTGGAAACTATTGCACAAAAATTACATAACCCTAGGAGACGCATGCAGTCCTTTTTTCTACAAGCAAAGTGCTTTCATCAACGATATAAAATCAGAGAAAAATTGATAACCAATCGGCTGCCTGGATACTTACTGAATTTTCTTACCTTACCTTACCCCTTTCAATACTTTGTACTCGTAGTGCTCCCGCATTAATCATTTCTAAAGTCATTTGGGACCAGTGAAGAATCTCTGCTATATTATCGTCAATATATACTAAGGCATTGTTTACAGCAATAACAACGGACTCCCAGTTTCTACGATTTTGTTCAATTAATTTCAAACGAATATCGTCCGCCATTTTAAAATTTTATTCTATTTTTACTGCTGACGCATACGATGTGCACAACGCTAAGGCAGAGTTTCGCTGCTCTTCTTTGCACAGTAAAATTTAACCCAAGGTTATCAAAGATTTTTAATAGAGAGTCAAAAGATGTAAACTGTTAGATGATTGGTTCCACTGTCTAGAAAACCGTTTGTGAAATGAAACAATCTTTAAAAAGACAAAAGTCGTGAATTCAGCAACTTTTCTTGACTCTTCAATTACAGGGTACAAAAGTTAAAAATTCAGCGTTGGAAGTTATCAGAGTCTTTTTCAACTGTAAATATTGATTATTCTATACATCGATTAATTGGTTGTATATAGGTTTAGAAGTTAGGCCGAATGTGAAATTGTAGAGTTTGTTTCAAGCACAAGAGTGACGAGAACAGTTCAACTAAATATGTTGTGTTACTAAATAATTCTTTATACACTAAATAAATTATCTATTAGGTCATCATTCTCCTGACCCGATTCAACACGATTGTTCGGGACAAGTTCATTAAGAGAATCAGAGTAACGAGAACTTTGGTTACCAGTCTCATTAACTTTAGTGACCATACTTCGTTCAGGGGCTTTCAAACAGCTTTGCTCGCAGTTATTTTCTTCCTCTTCTGCATATGTTGTAAGGCAAAAACTCTGTCCAGATACTATTTTAGATGTCTGTGATTTTGAAGGTGGATGTGTTACAATTACTGTCTCATTGGTATCTTGACAAATGTAATCCTGACTTGACAAAGAGCCATTTTGTTTAGTTGTACAGTTAACTTCATTTTTAACTTTGTCTTTTCCACCTTCAGTTGGTGAAAGATGACGTTTAATCACAGATATTGGACAGGAAACATACGGTGAACTGTAAAAGTTAAAATTTTTGCTTGAAATATAAGTTGCACAACGTTTAAATACAAAGATGGATGCAGACTCCAAAATTTTTTATGATAAACATGTTTCAACTTACATTTAGTCATCTTCAGTATGAGGTTAAGTATTTACAATGCCGAATTTATAATAGGATATATGATACGTCTTAATTAATAAAAATAAAAGGATAAGGTGGGATAAAATATTAGTTATACTTACATGGTAATTAAGTATTGTAAGTGTGATAGAGACAAATTAGAATATTTACAATTGGAAAATAGTGTTAAAATGTTGAATATGTTTGTTGAGATCAGGTTTGTGTTTGCGAATGGGAAGGGCTTCTTTAAGTTTTAGAGAAAATTGAGTGTTGGCGGTGTCTAAGATGGTGAAACATGAGCGAGTGTATTTGGATTTGCAGTTAGGATTTTTTAGTAGGTTTTTGTGGATGTGTGAGTTTTTGTCGAAAGTTATGTGTTCTTTAATCCTGGTGGCTAAGATGCCGGATGGCCCCACCAATGTAACAGGAATCACATCCTGCGCAACCAAATTTGCAAATGCAAACCACCAAGGATTCAAGATCGTCGGAAATGAGGTCTTTAAAACTAAATAGGTTTTTGATTTTATATAAGGTGAAAACTAATTTTATATTGATGTCAGTACAGAGCCGTTTGATGAGACTATGAAGTTTTTTTGAGTGATTATCCAATGGTGTCCTATGTATGGTAATTTGAAATAATAAACGTTTTGTTGTTCTTCTTAATTTGGTAAGCTATTAATGTTCAATTTTTGTGATTTTAGTTCGTCGTTGTAAGAGTTGAAAATGTGTTCAATGAAGTGTTGTGGGAAGGAGTTTCGTTGTAGTGTGTTGTTCATTTCATTCAAGTCCTGTCTACGGCCTTCTTCAGTGTCGTTAATTTTATGTGTACGATCAAGAAGTGTTTGGATAAGACCCGCTTTGTATCGTGAAGATGTGAAACTGAAGAAGTTGGTTAAAAGGCCGGTGTATGTTTTTTTTTATGATAAACGGAAGTGAAAACGTGGTGGAGGATTTATTAATGAAAATGTCTAAAAAAGGATTAAAGAACACAAAACTTTCGACAAAAACTCACACATCCACAAACACCTACTAAAAAATCCTAACTGCAAATCCAAATATACTCGCTCATGTTTCACCATCTTAGACACCGCCAACACTCAATTTTCTCTAAAACTTAAAGAAGCCCTTCCCATTCGCAAACACAAACCTGATCTCAACAAACATATTCAACATTTTAACACTATTTTCCAATTGTAAATATTCTAATTTGTCTCTATCACACTTACAATACTTAATTACCATGTAAGTATAACTAATATTTTATCCCACCTTATCCTTTTATTTTTATTGATTAAGACGTTTCACATATCCTATTATAAATTCAGCATTGTAAATACTTAACCTCATACTGAAGATGACTAAATGTAAGTCGAAACATGTTTATCATAAAAAATTTTGGAGTCTATGTGTTTAATCAATCTGGTGTTTCTGAGATCATAAAAAAAATAAAAGTCGTGTACATACCTTCCACCAAATTTCATATCAAACAGATTTTTTATATTTGGTAAAGTCCTTCGAAGGTCTGTCGTTGCTAGTCCGAGAGAGTATCGAATCTACGACAATGAAAGGCAAAGTAAACTTATTTGCTATGGCAATTTTCATTTCGATTGCAACAAAACTTTGCAACTTTATAAGAAACTGTTTTAACTATTCCGCGGGAAAATGGCATTTTTAACTTCTCTATTGTGTTTATCTTAACATATCATAAAAAAACAGACCAAAGTATCCGGATTTTCTGAAACTCCTGTCTTGATTTTTAACACGTTTTGATTTTAGAAGTTACCCTCAAAATACAATGAAAAATACTTTTACGTACAATACGTACAATTATGTTATTTATTTACCTGAGCGATGTTTTTGTTGAGAAGAAATACACCAAAATCAAATTGAAATCGTTCTTTGCCTTTTACAAACAAAGGAAATCTAGCGGACAATGTGAAGAACCATGGTTAATACATGACAGGTTTTACACAGACACAATGTTGATTTTCAAAGCAATATTTCATTCCAATGTAAATTTGTAAACATAGTGTTCAGCATATTATAGGTCTAATTATTACAATTAGTAAAAAACAAAACATTAAAATATAATAAACACTTACTCTCTCTCCTTATCAGGGAGTTTTTCATTCACAAAATCAAAAATAGTAGATCGAGAGCCTTTGTTGATGGCTGGATACCTTAAAGGTATTTGAAAATACCTTGCGATCATAGATAATAAGTGATTTACATAACCCAAGGCACTGCTTATTGTTTCTTCATTTACACCTGAAAGAATGGAAGAAATGACAAGGAAACAAAAAACATATTTCCAAAGTAATGAAAAATAACAAAATTTTAAGTTTTGGAAAGTTGAAAGCGATTGATATTTGCTGTTACGTTAAAACAACGCAACAATACTTTCATGAGTAACAATGACCCTATAACATTATCGTAAACCTAAATACAAAAGTTACCCTCAAAATTTTCAAACAACATATCCAGTTACATATGACAAATGCAAATTAAGAATTATAAAACATAATAACTAAAAAATCCATCATTACCGTTAAACTCAGGGGATTGCGTATTCGGCAATGGTAAACCACATAAAATCATTTCTTCATTTTTTGACTATAATATGAGATAATGTAATAAAGAATACGATCAGTTGAACTCTTACAAATCATGCATTCATATTTTTTACCGTTTCAATAGGATAAATATAAGTTAGTTCGTGGCACAATTGCCTACGGCGCATCACAACTTGTGCTTTTGTCTTTACCAATAATTCCCTGCGTGTTGATAAAACACAATTAAAAAAATACTGGATGCTTTCGATATATGATACAATAAAAATATATTCAATGTGAACCTTCTGGCAATATGATTCTTTTTTGCTTCGTCAAAATTTCTTTTGGCTACCTCGAAGCCTTCCACTTTATTGCGAAGTTTGTTTCCTAAAAATCAGTTGAAGACAGTTCATATATTCTGTTGTATCCGACTGATTTCTTGTAAAAGTTTCTTGTATGTCTGTCTTATTTCGAGATCAGTGGGGTACACACTGGTTTAGTTAGGTATATATGAATACAGAGGAGTTTAGTGAAGTATTTTTGGGTATAGACTATTTAGTTGGTTAAGTTAATTGCTACGTGGAAAATGACTACGTAAGAAAACTCTTGTGGAAAAAATTATTTTACTTAACAATTATTTCAATAGCAAAATTCTTACCAGCGTGTTGGACATCCCTAACAAGTTCAACTTCCATTTTTTGATCTTAAAAAGATTTTTAACAATAAGACAAAAATTATATGGAATTGTAAAAACCTAAAATTTATAGACATCCCAACTTTGAATGTAAAAACTTTGACAGTAAAACAATATCATCACTAACTTTGCATTGGATTCAGTAACATATCCAGTCTGACCTTTTACTCCCTCTATGGAAATATTTTTGTGTTCACTGACTGTGAAAACAATAGATTTCTAATGAAATGAAAATTGGTAATCTTTGAGAATTTACATAGCGGAAGTAAATCTGCCAGCTGGCTTTGCTGCTGAACGAAATAAAATTGAATCACAATGAATTCAACTAAAGTAATCAAAAACAATGTTGAAAAATACTGAATACCTGTATCTAACATGTTCTTATGTTTATGAAGCTCTTCCTGAAGCATTCTTACACTAAGTTTCAAACGCTCACGCTCACATGCCTGTAAAACCAAACAAAAACTAAGTAATAAGTACATTGTTTGAAACAGGATCAATAAACATACAAGTTTCATCAACAGAAGAATATGTTGAAAAGTAAATAATCAAAAGCTTGTGACATATGAAAGGTAACAACTGGATGAGCAGTTGTTAATTCTAGGGTCATGCAAACGCAAGGGATTAAGAAATGTTTTAGCTACAGCAAAATGACTAATGAATGACTGGTTGTACTGCTGTAGATAATAATGAAATTGATAATGCCAGCATTCAATAAATGTTGCTTAATTTACTTTGGAAAAAAAACTACATAAAATACTTTTTAATACTAAAAAGATATTGATATTGTACATTACAGTGTATTTTAGTTAAAGCCTTATTTTGGCAGAATTAAAAATAGTTACCAAGAGATTGTCAAGACAATTCTTAATGAATTATGAATTTGACATACACGATGTAACCTTTGTCCAGAAATGTGGAGATTTTCCTGGGCACTAGTCTTTATCTTTCTGATCTGTATTTGTGTTTGTCGAATAGCACGAACTAATGTATGTAGCCTTTTAAAGACATTAAAAGGAATTGTCTTTATAATATACTATACAGAGAACTAGATTTTTGCTAAGTATTAGATAAAATTGGTTGTCGGAGTTGGTATAGTCCTGAGAAGGAATTTTAGTGTTGGTGTCATTTAAACATAGATGATGGCTTTGGGATAAAGTTGAATCATGATAAAGTGGTAGACAAGTATACCAAAGATGCGAGTTGTCTGCTTATTAAGGGGTCATGATTAGAGTTGAGTGTTTGGATTGAATTGTACTCTACCTTGTGTTGAAAAAAACTGATTAATGAGGAACTAAATACTTACCTGTGGAGCGAAGATAGATTATAAGATGATTTAACCTACAAGAGAAAATATATTTGTGTGTTTTACTTTTTATAGTAACTGTTGTCTTGTAACAATTAATTATGAAATAACTGAACAATGATAACGCTACTAAAAATTAAAACAAGAATATTACAATAAAGCAACATTAAAACATTACCATTTCTTGATCAACCTTCAGTAAACTCTTAGAAATAATTTCATCATCATTCTAACATTACGAAAGATGTGAATTATCTTGTTAATAAAAACATCAATGTTGTATATCTGAGGATGTTTGGAACAAAATATTATCCAATCATGCTGCGTACCTGGGTGTCCTTAGGAGGAATGTAATATCCATCTTGTAATCCAAATATTAATAAATTAGCTTCATAATAACACCCATTTTGATCAATCTATAATTAAAAAAAGCAATGTCATGATATTCAAAATTTCAAACATTTAAAAATTGACTAACGAAGCCTTACTTTTTCTCCCAAATAAACAAGACCGTTCAAATCAACATTCCATTCAATCAACAATTGATAACTTCCATTTTCTCCACCCCAGATTCTCACAATGAATGCTTAAGTATGTTAAAGAATTCTCATACGTACCTTGTCAAAGATGTAAATTACAAAATTTTTTTCACACATAACACAGAGATGTGTAGATCTTTTGAAAGTCAGTTTCACATTCACCATGGCACAGAACTAAAGGATACAGCTACTTGCTGTGTTTAAATCTTCACAAAACTGACTAACATCAAAACTTTGCCAAGTTGGATTCTAGAAAAAAACATCAAGGAATGAATGTTTATAAGCTATGAAAAATTTGAAACATAACATACAAATTACAACTTACAAATGATGACTTTATTTCACTTGTGTAAACCACTGTAAGCAGATGAATAAAAAATATAAACATAAGATTTTTGTGAAGTAAATTTACTATATATTGAAAAATCTTTTAAAATTGTAATAGAAACATCAACAATACCAATATTGCCAAGATAAATTGAAAAATATGTTCCCAATTTACGGAGGGAAGCAAATCCACGTTGCTTTATATTTCTGGCAAAAATGCTGGTCACATGACGTAGTCGTCTCTGAAAACAAAGTTAATAAGAAAAATAGAATTTGTTATCTGTGTAGCAATTAATTAAATTTATGCTGTTACAAATTTCCTTATGGTGAAGTCTGCATCTTAACACAACTTAAATTGGAAACCTCACGGTATCACCAGGACTGCATTTCCAAATCTAGTTTATAAACTTATTGAATGTGACAAAGATATTCTATATTGACTCATTGTCAACCTTTCTTCAATTATCAATGTAACAGTTGAAAAAAGGTAAAAGTTCAAATTAAATCATTTTACTACTTTCTTCAACTTCTTTCTAAAACTACTTTCTTCAAGCTACAGTTATATTGAGAAAACTTGCACAGAGAAACTGCATACATGACTTGCCTTGTTTACGTTTTGCTGGCAGGCAAATTAATCCCAACAGTGCTTGACCAATAGTTGCTAGTGTTGTTTAAATCCAACTCGACCAAATCTGCCTGCCAGGAAAATGTAAACAAGGCTAGTCGTCTATATATTGATGAGTCAAACGTTTTGACAGAGCTTAGAAACATGAAATTTAAAAAATATAATAAGTAATTTTAGACCTCAGTCTCTTCAAAAACTGAAAACAGATTACATATGAGTGATATAACCTCTAGAATACAGTTCTCACCTGTTGTGACGAAAGGTCAACATGTTTTCTTCTTTGGAAAGCGACCCTTGCGTGCATTACAGTTCCCATAAAATAATTATCTCTTCATGTCAAGAAAGTCATGCTAAGGAAACTGAAATAGTCTTTCACCACAAGCCCTTTGTAAAATTACAATGTACAAGTACAAACAGCTAGGTTTTTCTACAAAGAAAAACCATTCATTTTGATGTAAAAGTAATAAAACTACATTTACGTACACGGTTACTGACCGGAAATGAGCCCGCGATATAAGCTTTCATCTGTGGTTTTCAATTTCTATCTCAATGTTTGGATGTTCCGGTGTCTTTTGATGTTTTGAGGAGTCATTTGTGAACTATTGTATTGTGTATGCAATTTTATTGTAACTATATGTATTGGAATGCAACTTTAACGCAGTTCACAAAAAATGTATTCCAATATTCTGAACGATTGATATATAGAGTATTTTCTCCAATTGTCCCCTTTGGGATTTTCTAATTTTTTGCTACCTTTGAATTTAAATGAATTAAATCGGGAAACTAAATGAATTTATACTTAACTTGTGCATTTTGTATTATCCATGAAATTGACCTCCTGGTGATTTTAAATTTACCTAGAATAGGGGATAAACAGAGATTGGGGGTGGGACTTAATTTTTTCAAGCGTGTCATTGTTAGATGAGTAAAAAGAGGAGGCGATGGCTAAATAGAGAAAAAAATGCCATCATACATCATGCGAATACAATAATGCTATTGTCATCCTCAGAGCAAATGCTCGAACAGTATAATACACAGTAAACTAAGTTTTTGGAAACTGGTCTGATTTTTCAACTTCTTCTAATAAGTATACAATTTCTTCAATGATATGCGACATATTTTTCACAAAATGACTAATTCATGTCCATAGCTTTCTGTTAATGTCAGTGGCAATTGTCTTTGTGTTATGTCTTATATTCTTCAGCGTGATTTGAATGATCATTATGATTAACGATCGTTATGACTACGATTAATTTTAATTTTTGATACAATAAAACATTTTTTAAATGCCGAATGATGAAGTGATATGAAGAGAAAAACGTTAACCTTTCACTTTTTAAATTTTGGATAGATATTGTCAATCATTGAGCCCTAAGAGAGACAACGATTGAAGACATTTGCATACAAACAATCTACAAATGATCCAATCGTCATAATAAAGACAAAGAAAATAGCAAGAACGTAATCCTCATTCAAAAGTCATTGTATTTATTGTTTTTAACACTAAGTGCGTTAGCAATACCGACACAATGTGTATTTTCCTTGAGAGGAAGCAACGTAACAAGAAAGATAATTTTGAATACAAGTACGACGAAGTCATTTGTTTCGTAACCAAGTTAAAGTAAGGAATGTGGTTAAAATATCTGAAATTGACACATCATTACAAAACAGTTATTAATTATCTGAAGTGTGAAACAGCTCAACGCGCATACTAAAATCTTCAAACAGTAAAGAAATCATCAATCTAGCAACTATGGTAAATAATAATGCTGAAATACAGGACCAGACAAAGGTGATGATCAACATTCGAGGAACAATTTATGAAACATTCGAGTCAACACTAGCAAGATACCCAAATACTCTAATGGGTAGCTTTACTAAAACGTCTCCTTATTACAACTCAAAGAAGCAACAATATTGTTTAGATCGCGATAGAAAAGCATTTGATTCTATACTTTTCTATTATCAGTCAAGAGGAAAACTAATCAGACCCATTGATGTCGATGAAACTATTTTTTTGTCAGAGTTGCAGTTTTTCAATATTGATCATAACAATGTGACACAGCTGGAGTATGGTTCATCTAATTTCAGCATTCCAAAAACAAATAAAAGAGCGGAAAGAAACTCAGACGTTCATACATTTTTCGATATATTTTTATCGTGGCCCTGTGGAGTTATTGTAGTGACATACATATTAACTTTATGCCTGTTAAGTTCTTTACAATATCAACAGATGTTATCAAATTTATGTGGTAGAATGGAAACCAATTCTTCCAAATCGTCTCAAAATATCAAAGAGGACAATCATCCTTTTATAATTTTGCAATATACTTGTGGTGTATGGTTTGTTTTTGAGTTCATTCTTCGGCTTCGTCAAGCTGAGTGTAAACCAAGATATACTAAAAGTATTTTAGGAATAGCTGACATTATAACCGTGGTGTCGATATTCTCACAATTATTTATTCATCACTTTGACTGGTGTGTGCAAACGTCTACAATATGGCTCGCAAACATAACGCGAATATGTTCTCTTGTATGTATGTTCAAACTATCACGATATTCAACTGGACTAAAACTGTTTGGTGTAACAGTGAAAGCATGTGCGAAACAGCTCATTTTGTCGTTTTATTGTGTTGGCTTGTGTATTCTCGTGTTTTCCTTCATTATTTACTACAGTGAAGAAAATGTCAATCCTAAGTTTGAAAGTATCATCGATGCATTTTGGTATACGATAGTCACATTAACAACAGTTGGTTATGGTGATTTGGTACCAGTCTCCGTTCTCGGAAAGATTTTTGGTGGAATTTGCTGCGTATTTGGCGTTACAATTGTTATGGCATGGCCGGCAACAATATTTGTTTCTTATTTCCAGCAAGTATATAATTATGAAATTGGACTAAAAAAGAAAAAGTCAAGAAATTATTTGTCTTCAAAAATAATGAAAATACGAAGAGGATTGATGCAGTTAGATAATACGGGCTGTGCATTTAAATGATTACTATTCCAAGGTCTTTGATGTTGTATAGTTGCAACGCAATTTTTTTTAATGTATAGTTATGCAGTTTCTTAGTAAATTTGTGGCCTGGTACATCGTTTTGATGCATAAAAATCATGAATCACCACGGATTTGCGCGGTTTTTGCAATGCATTTTGGGATCGCCAGGGGGCAAACATTTCTTTAGAAATTTATCTGTAATAGTGATATTTTTGAGAATTCTTAATTTAAAGCACCTATTTCCATTATAATGGCTATTCGTTGTAATGGGTATTCGTTACCAGTTGGGAGAAAAGAAGTAAAAGTATGTGGAGACGGCAATTGCTTTTATCGAGCAGTTGCGTTGGCTATAAACGGTGAAAGCGACGAAAACTTTGCTCACATTCGAGAAATGTGTAACGAAGTTTTAATACAAAATCCGGCTACTTTTCGACCGTATTTATTTCGATACGAATCGATAGAAAAGCATCTGGAGCGAAACATTATGTCCGGTACGTGGGGAGAAACAGTGGATATGTACGCTTGTGCCACGGCCTTGCAGCATGAAATTTGTGTTTATGCTATGCTTGAGCAGAAATGGTTTTATTTCACTCCTCGCCTGATGTTACGTCCATTGTTAAAATATGATAGAATCTGTGATTGTCCAATCACTTTGGTCTTGCATAACTTTCACAGAGCTGCTTGCCATTTCAATCTTTTGCAACCTATCAATAGTTGTTGTCTTGCCCCAATACCTGCCAATGAATACCAACCACCTGTGTTGGTTGATCTTGAACTTAAGGAAGAACCATCTCTTTCTAATGACCAATCATCTCCACTTAAAACTAGAACTATAACTTGTCCATCAAAACCTAAAACAATATCCCGCAAATCCAAACCCCCCCCCAAAAAAAATCTTGTCTATCTAAACATAAAACCATATTTTGTGAAACCAAACAAGAAAAGCTTGCAAATGAAAACATTGCGAAGAATGTTGACACTAGTACAGTTGTCAGGGATGAGCAATTTCACCAGAGAAATAATTTCAAAGACTGGAAAGTTAAAGATTTGAAAGAGTATATCAGTGACCGTGGTGTACCAACTACAAACTATTTAAAATCCGATCTCATAAAGTTAGCAGAAGCCACTGAGGAGGCAATACTACCAATTGATCCTGATTTTTCAAAGGATTCCTTGGAGCATTGTCTTCAAGAACGATTGACACTTCCTGCTGGAAAGCGCCTACAAGATCCATTTAAAATGACCCATACATCAAATGACATGTCAGCTTTACCAACATTTGGACTGTTGGACATTTTCAATCATTTAATAGTTAGTAAAGCAAAATATGACAAAGACATGTTGGCATCTTGGAGAACATTTGATGATTATAAATTACACCAAAATGGTCAAGTAAGGAATTTATCTGGAACTATTGTCTATGACAACGATGATAGCAAGTTTCACATTGTCATTGGCAGTGTTTTACCCACACAAAGGGACAAAACACCAGAAGGCATGAAAGAATACAGATCCTAGTTCATACTTTCGCCAAATGGCTCTGTGTTTTCTGCATTTTGTGAATGTAAAGGTGGTTCAGATCAGGGATGCAAGCACTTGGGTGCTTGTATGTTTGAACTTGAAGAGTTTTTGTCAGGTGAAAGAACTTCAGTGACTTCACTTCCAGCATACTGGCAACCAAAACCAACACCAAGAAATAAGCCCTTACCATTGCTGGAAATGAAAATTTGTCACTTGGTGAAACCCAAACGAAAAAGGAAACATGTATCTCTCGACGACTCTTGGGTTGACTCATTTGACCCAATGCCAAATCGTATGAGAACCACAATAAGTGAAGTAGGAAAAGTTGAATTTGCCAGGAAATTGAGAGACATTGATGAAAATTCTGGTATTTTGGATTTCCTTCCTGAGTGCCCACATTCAGACAAAGTAAAAAAAATGAAAACTGTTTTTAAACTTAATAGTCTTAGCATAGAAACAAAAGCTAAAATATTTGCAAGGGAAAATCAACATTTGATTAAAAAAAGAGTGAAGAAAGCCTGTGATATCTTCATTAGCACATTAAAATGCACTGAAGAAGAAAACAATTGTTCATTTCAGCTGCAACAAAAGGACAATCCAAAAATGAAGAATGGCATAAAATGAGACATGCCGTGGTAACAGGCAAAAAAGTCAAAGCTATTTACACTAGACAAAAAACAAAAGAGCGCACCCCTTCAGCTGATTTATCAAAAACTGTTGCTAATTTTTTGGAAGACAAGAACAGTTTGATAAACTCAAATGCTATGCAATATGGACTAGAAGAAGAAAAAGAGGCTCTGTATCTTTATAAGAGACTGCGTACAAAGAAGCATGAAAAAGTTAAAATAGAAGAACCTGGGTTGCTTGTTGACCCCAAAAATTTATGGATGGGAGTGAGTTTGGATGGAATATGCCAATGTGAATGTTGTGGCTCAAGGACACTTGAAATTAAGTGCCCTCTAACATGCAAGAATATGGATCCCAAATCTGCATTTTTCTCAACAGCTATTGGTGGGAAAACTAATGATAGTGGGAAGAAAGTGTTGAACAGGAACCATTTACATTACTTTCAAGTCCAAATGGGTATGGCTATAAGTCAAATCGATGTGATTTTATTGTATATACAGAAAAAGGAATTGATATTGTAGAAATACCATTTGATGCTGACTTCTGGAGTGATGTATTTAAAACTGTGTTTCTTTTCTATAAGAATTATATTATTAGTAGTCTTTTATTGAAATATGTACAATGATAAAATTTTATATTTACAAATAATAGTTTTTCAAAATAAAAATATTAAGTATAATTTATTTTAGATTATGTAAGAATTACTTTATACCACGCTTTCCTAAATTACATAAAGCGGCACACATAAACAAAAAGTTGTCCAAAACTGGTTTTAATGTCAATGGAATAACTCCTGATAAAATCTGAAATTGCTTTAGTTTCAATATATTCCTTTCGACATGAGATCTTAATGATGCCACATGCCGAGTATGAGTTGTTCCATGAGAGAAAAGTCTTGGTCCACGACAATAGGCAGGAGAAATAAAGTGAACTTTCTTCACCACAAGTAGATCTCTAACAAGGAATCCCTTATCAGCCATGACACCATCACCTTTTTCTAGCAAGTTTATGAGACCAGAGTTGGTGACAATTTCCTTGTCAGATATTGAACCAGTCCAAAGGGGTGGGATGAAGGAAAAAATACCAGTAGGGGTAATGCCAACACTAATAGTTTAGCAGTGTTCCAATGCTTATAGCTGCTCCATGAAATTTTCTGGCTCCCAGGTATCTTAGGTTTTTGTATGAAAAATTCTGTGCAATCAATAATTATCCTTAAGTTTTTAAATTTCTGAAATCGCTTAGGTAGTTTCTCTTTGATTTCAGACTTACTTGGCCAAGGCACAAGGAATGAAAGCTTGTTAGACAGGAATTTAACCCAAGTTGTATAAATCCGGGAAACATAACTAGCTGAAACAGAAAATGTATCAGCCAAAAAACATGACATCAAATCTTTTTCGTGTCCTGACAAGAGTAAGAATGAATTCTTCCCAATGTGTCAATACTCTTGAGACATGCCCTCTTTTAATAGACTGGGCAGTGGCTGTATCAGTAGAACCTCTCCAATACCTTAGACTCTATGCTTTCTCTTCAATCAAACTGAAAACTAAGTTCAACTTTTCTAGTGACAATCCAATGTAGCGGTAGCAATTCTTCTGGCAAATAGCTTGCTCAATAAATAAATTTCTTTTCAACGTTTTAACATCGCCCTGGCAAAAACAGTCAATGAGGTCATGTTTATCACTTTCAAAGCTGTAGCTATCATCATAATCATAACTTGTAACATCCAAGTCTGTTGTACAATTTATATGTGGACTGTCTTCGTGCACAGACTCTGGCTCAGTAGCAAAAAATGCCTTATCCTGATGCTCAAAGCTTTTCTCAGTACTGCCTTCACACAGAATTTTTCGTCTCTTTCTTTTCGGAATATTTGATTTGCTTTCGGCGGTAGTTGTTTACTGGTTTCTTTTGATTGGTATCCTTTGAGATACAAAGTTGGATTGGGACAGCCCTCGGATCGATAACCAGCAAGAAAATGATTAGAACAAACCTTCGTATTAGCAGTGACTTTGAAGTTTTTCCTGTTGATCAGCTTTTGCCAAGCACTCTTGTCTTTCGCGTTTTTCGGAGAAAAAAAGCGAAGAATACCAACGTGATCGAAAACGATATATTTTTCAGGATATCTTCTATCGTTATCACAACCATAAACAGCACAGTGATCCCTTTTCCCATTATAATTTGAATATAAACTTTTTACTAAAAGATATTTTTATAAAGATACACAATGTTTGCCCCCTGGCGATCCCAGAATGCATTGCAAAAACCGCGCAAATTTAAGGGAGACTGGCAACCGGCAAATACTCCATTCAAACCATTGAGTTCTATACATTGAGCTCTATAATAACTGGAGGGGCAAAGGGGCCTGGGCCTCGTGGTCAAAAACATGGCGGTAATGGCGGATTTTGGTTGTCAAAACTTCCACTTTGAGAAAAATTTTTAACATTCGCTCCCTCCTGAATCCGGAACACTATTACTGCTTATATTGATGACAACCAGCGAAAACAACCACGATACCGTAAGCATAAAATATTGAAAATAATGCTTCAGGTTTTTGTGAAATAGACACACACATTTAAATGAGGTAAATCTACTGTAAAATAACGTATATTTTGTCAAGTAATGCTTTAGCTATGTTAGAAATAAATATCAAACGGCATTCTTTACACTGTGCAATACTTGTGTTTTTGACTATTTGTTAACAGCTTCGTGCAACTGTCTTTCTTGAATAGATGGGTAAATCTTAGTTAAAATGTCCAAAAAGGAGTTAGAAAAAGTTAGCTTACCCCTACGACTTAAGTCGACTGGAAATATATTATTAGTAGGTATGTATTTTTTTGAGTTTTTTTTGGTAGGATTGATTCTGGGTGTCTTATAAGGTATTATGATATTCTGATAAATCTACTGAGAACTTATGAAGAAAATATCTTGAACTAGGAGAGCAAAAGAACGAAATTCAGAAATTCTATAATCATGTTGCTGGTTCTGTTTTGAGCCAAGATATTAGAAACTGGATTGTCATTGAAAACCAAGGATCTACTACTGAACAGAACTACATTAATTTCCCATTGAAAATACGATTTCTTAAATTAAAGTGCATTGGTTTCTCTGACATAACACTTTTCTTATTGCTGCATGAAGGCAAACCTGTTTTAATAATTATAATGTAGGTGAAGATTTTTAGCATGTTGTATAATTATTATACAGACATTATTTATAATATTATGGCCTTGTGTAATGTATGTCAAGAACTTATTAATTCTCAAAAATGCTAACCTTCTTGCACTACTTTTCTCTTGCGTCCTTACAAATTACAGTTACCTATACTAATTTTTTCTAGGTTCAAACAACTTGAAAAATTTTTGAATTTTACATTATGCCTTTGAATTTTTCTTTTTGTCTTTTGGTAAAAATATCAGTAAATGACTTAAAAATCAAGTTTATCTAAAATAGTATTTTGTACAAAGTAACTATACATAGTTGGAAAAGTCTCATGTTGAAGACAGATGTGGCTTCTTTACTAGATTGCTACTCTATTCTTTTAAATGATATCGTAATTCTTCAAAGACATAAAAGTTCTTTGTCATCAATTTTGCTTCTTCCACATTCAACTTCATTGCAACCAATGCATCTTATGTGAATTTTAATCACCTGGAATTGAAAACATATGGATTTTGTCAGATGATGCAGTACTGTATTTAATGTTTCATGCATGTCATCATAAGCTTTTGAGCAAAT